GCTCGGGGCTCCCTACGGGAACGGGGTCCTTAGGGGCCCTGCAGCGGCCCCGGGGCTCCCTACGGGAACGGGGACCCCAGGGGCCCTGCAGCGGCCCCGGGGCTCCCTGGCGGCCCCCACAGTGCCCGAGGAAGCCGCACAGAGGCCCGGGGAGGGAGCGGAGAGGCCGAGGGGCCAGCGGCCCCGCTGCCACCCGGTACCGGCTGCTGCTCGCGGCTCCGGCGCCTCCTGGCGGCCGCTCCCGACCCCACACGGCCCCGTCCCGGCGCTGGGGGCCACGGAGCCCCCCGGCCTCGTCCCCCCAAGCCCGCTGGCCCCGCCGGGGTCTCGAGCAGAGGGCGCCTCGCACCCCCTGCCCGCAGCCTCTCGAGCGGGACAAACAGAGATCCGTGGCCGGGACGAGTGTCACCTGCGGGGGACACGAGCGGAGCCTGCGCCGCTGCCGCCTGCTCCCGGACAGCACCCGGCTCCGAGGGGCAGCAGCGCCTGGGCTGCCAGGGAACGGCACCCCAAGGCGCGAGAGCATCAGCAAGACACCGAGGGGACGGACACACAGGGACAGAGCCTGGAGCAGGAGCAGGGCTGGGATGCCCAGGGACAGAGCTCAGAGCAGGACTGGGATGCCATGGATGCTTCTTGCTGACCCTAACGCCACGAATTCAGAGCAAAGTGTTGGTCATGGCAGTGCTGATCAGCTCTTTTGGGACGATTTCGCCCCTGGAAGGCAGGGGGGCTTCAAGAGCAGGAAGCCGGCACCAGGGGACAAAACCTGCGAGTCCTCCAACTGCTTCCTCTATTTCCCAGACCAACTTTAACCCCTTTCTGGCCTAACTCTGGCACACCTTTCCAAAGGGAAGCCAGCCCAGCTCTCCAAGCAACACCTGGTACTGCACAAGCCAGTGCAGGTCTGCAGCCTCGGCAATGGCTGCGCAAGGGGCTCCAGAAGGGCCTCCTTTACACCCGCTCTCCCCTACACGAACATTTCTGGGTTACAGCAAAGAAAATAGCTACAAGCCGTATGATTTTTAATCTCTTTGTAGGAATTTAGCATTTACCATTCCAACACGAGGCTTGTGGAAACAAAGCCTGTCTAAGGCTACTTCGAACTCAGCCTGTGTCTGTCTAAGGCTACACCTCTCCAAGCCTCTCTAAGTCTGTCTAAACTTAAGTCTAACTAGGTTCTTCTAAGTCTGTCCAAGGCTAAGCCTGTCTAGCTCTAAATGTGAGTCTAACTATGCCTGTGTAGGTCTGTGTAAGCCTAAACATGTCTAAGCCTGTCTAAGTCTGTCAAAGGCTAAGCCTATCTAAATCTGCCTAGATGCAAGTCTAACTAGGGCTGTCTAAGCCTCTCTTGGTCTGTTTATACCTAACTAGGCCTGTCTAAGCCTGCCTAGGGCGAGACAGCGGGGCCGGGAGATGCCGAGCGGAGACGGGAGGAGCCGAGAGGAGCCGAGCGAGACCGAGCGGAACCGAGAGAAATCGGGAAGAGCCGAGCGGAATCGGGAGGAGCCGAGCGATGTCGGGAGGAGCCGAGCGATGTCGGGAGGAGCCGAGCGGTGTCCGGAGGAGCCGAGCGAAACCGAGAGGAGCCGAGTGGAACCGAGAGGAGCCGAGCGAGGCCGGGAGGAGCCGAGCGGGGCCGGGAGGAGCCGAGCGGGGCCGGGAGGAGCCGAGCGGTGTCGGGAGGAGCCGAGCGGTGTCGGGAGGAGCCGAGCGGGCCAGGAGGAGCCGAACCGGGCCGGGCCGGTGCCGCCGCATGCCGGTCCCCCGGGCGCTGCTGGGGCTGGGGCTGCTGGTGACGGCGGCGGCGCGGGGGGGCGGACGGTGCCCGCACCGGCCCTGGGGACCTGCGTGGGACTGGGGCCGCCCCCGCTGCGCCATGTCCGGCCCCGGCGGGCCCCGCTTGCTCGGGTAGCGCCGCCGCGGGGGGCCGGGGGTGCACGGAGGCACCTGGGGAGCAGGGGGGGTGCACGGAGGTCCCTGGGGTGCAGGAGGGGTGCAAAGGGTGGGAGGGGGGTGCAGAGGTTCCAGGGGGTTCCACATGGTGCAAGGGAGGGGCAGGGGGTCCCTGGGGTGCAGG